ATTATTATTTATTTTTTTATAATTATAATTTTTATATAAATTATATCTTTAATTTTTTTAAAAAAATATTTTTATATTTTATTTTTTTTAATTAAAATTTTTATTCTTTACTTTTATATAAATTTTATTTTATTTATTATTAGTTTAAATTATTTTTAACCTATATTTTTTTCTATTATTTTTAATATTACTTTTTTTTTTAATTATTTTTTTATTATATTATTTATTTATTTTTTAATTTACTAGTTATTTATCCTATAAATTTATATTTTATATATATTTTTTTTTTTTTAAATTTATACTTTTTAATATCATTATTGATTATTCTTTCCTCTAAATTTTTTTATTATATTAATTTATTTTTATAAAAAAACTACTAAAATGTAAAAAAGTTCTAATATTTTAATACTTAAAAACTCTAATTTTCAATAAAAGAAAAAATTTAAAATTCTTTATTTTTTTATGTTAATTCATTTTTTTCTGATAAAGGTTAATTATTTTATTTTTTTTAAAAAAAATTTATTAATTATTATTATTATAAGATTTCTTATTATTAATTTTATTTCTAATTATTTAAAAATACCTTTTCTATTTACATAGCTCTTTAAGAGTATTTCAAAGTATTTAAGCTTTTTTCTATACAGTAAAAGTCATGACTTATACATGAGATAATGCGTGCAAATATATTTCCTCCAAGGGAATCTTTAAGAATGGGTGTTAATTTTGAATAACGATATGGAGCAAATGCTTTTTTTATTTATTTGAAAGAATATTTATGCAATTACCTAAGGCAAGTAATGATTTATTAATATTATAACCTTCTTAAATCCTTAAATTTTATTTATTTTCGGTGAATCTTTCTGAACCTGTTAAATCAATCAAAGAAAGCTTACTCTAAATTATAATTTATTATGAAATCTTTTGCTATAAAGTGAATGTTATCATAACGTGAGATCGGGATGATTATATATTTAGATTGTTTAAGCTGTTTGTCTTTTTTAATTTGCTTATTTTATTAATTCCAAGACCTCTTACTTTGATTAAGCTTCTTTTTCAATTAAATCAAGTATTTCTACGCCTTCTTTTTGAAAGTCTTCGATTAAAAGAATATTTAAAGAAGGTTCATATTGATTTTTAAATAATAAATCTATAATTTATTCGTTATATATTTCAACATATCTGAATTTTAAATTAAATTTTTAAGCCTTGTGATTCATTATTTCCTATAATGAATAAAATATTAAACCTCCTTCCATATTTTATTACATATTTCCAAACATGGTATAAGTTTTACCTGAACCAGTCATTCCATATACAAAACATGTGCAATTATATCTATTAAATAAATTTGTTTAAATGCTTAATTTTAAAACTTAGTTATATATTGTTTAAGTGGAATCTTCATGGGAAAAAACACCATTAAATTTATAACTCTTATTAAATTATAATGATAAATTTATAAAGTATTCTCTATTGTATTTATTAACATTTTTTACTTTTCATTTTATTATTTTATTGTAAGAGGACGAACTCGAATATAAACTTTTATTGGATATTTTTTTATTTAAATGCAATTTTTTTTAAGGAAAATTTATTAAATTTAGTTTTATTAAAAAATCTAATCTTTATTCACAGAATAGTATGTTAAATTTTTAGGTGGTTAAATTAAATTTTAAATCTAATAACTTTTTTTAATATTCATTTAATTAATTACTTTGAATTTTATTAAAAATAATTAAAAAATTAAATAAATTAAATTAAATTAAAATTTAGTATAATTGATATTTTTTTTATTAAAAATTAATATAATTATATTTTTTTATTAAATAATTATTTATTTATATATATATATATATATATTTATATTTAATTATAATATATTTGTTTTATTCTTAAAACATTATTTTTCTAAAATATCATATTTAATGTTTAAAAATTTAAGTAACAATTTTAAATAAAAAAATATTTTTAAAAATTAAATAAAAAAAAAAATATTCATTCATTTATGATAAGAATTATTATTAACACCAATGTTAAATATTATTTAAATAAATTGCGATAAAAATATTAATATTTCTTTACTCTGAATTCTTCATAAATTACTTATGACTAAATAATTTATTTAATATATATATCTAAAAATTCTTAAAAATAATATATTTTACATAAATTAAGTTAAAATACTATTTTTTGATAACTAAATAAATATATTAATTAAAATTGTTCCGTAATTGATAACTAAAATAATAAAAATATAATATAACATAAACTAATTTTTTATTACATATAAAAGTCGAGAAGATTAATTAACTAATCTTAAATAGCATTAATAATTCTTAAGTTATGATAATAAAAAAAAATCAAAACAAAAGCTAAATATAATTTTTTTAATATAAGGCTTTTATAAATTAAAAAAATATTAATTTGAATTTTAATAAATAAAATATCACTTTTTGTTAAATAATTATAATAATATAAATTTGAAAATAATAATCATTTAGGGCAAATAATATAAATTGAAAATAATAATCATTTAGGGCCATCATTAGATAAAATAATCATTATTTTAATATATTTAGAAAATTAAATTAATCCTTCCGAAACACATATTTTATATTTATAAATATCTCAACTACTACATTATATATCTTACTGAATATAATTTTAAGGACATTTATTCTCAAATAAAATATCTATTTTGACAATCATCACACTTATCTTAATTAATACATTTTTTACAATTATTAATACAATATTCAATCATAATATACAAATCTCTAAGTCCAAAAAATTAATCATTATTTTCTGGAATTTGCTTAATTTAATCTTTCGGCGAATATATTTATATTTATATATAAAAAATCAATCAAACTACCTTTTAATACTCATTTAAAATAAACTCTTTAAATAATTAAACAATTCAAATTGTTTACCATACTTTAAATACTATATCCTAATCTTTCTTACCAATCCCCAAAAAAGGTCGCCCAAAAAGCCAAACTTCATTACACATTTTAAATTATTATTAATTAAATCCTTCCAAAACAATTTCTGCGCTTCCTAATTCTACTTTCGCAAAATGCTATCCAAAAAAAGCTTAAAGTAAATATTCCCCCGTATTTCGGTATTTTAGCATTATCTTTACATAATTTATTAGTAGCTATATAATTATAACGGCATTCCTGCACGTATTTCCCTAATTTTAGCATAATACGCACTCATTATTTTAACAATTAATACAATTCGCATGTGCGAATTTATTTTCCACACACATCTTAATATTATTATTGCTTTAAATAATGAAATCTTTAATTTAATCACACTCATTTAGACATTAATTATTTTTAGCACATCCATTACAATCACAAATATTTTCTTTATTATAATCTAGCAATGGAACACACTAAGGGCAAGTAAAAATATCAGCTTCAGAGGGCTGTAACACAAAACACATGATTTGTGACATGTATCGACCCATAGATATTTTTTATTCCATAACCACGATTATTTTGATTTAAAATAAAAGTAGAATATATTTTAATTCAAAATTTGGGAATCAGTATAAATAATATTTTAAAAAATTACTAATAATAAATTTGAATGATATTTAAAATTCAAAACTATATTAATCTGTTGAACATTTATCAGTTTGACATATCTATAATCCAGCTTAATTATAAATTTTAAAGGTTTAATACATTTTGTTATAAAATATACAAAGGCCTGATTGTTTGAAAATTTAAACTATCTGTAACAAAATATGATAAAATCAAATTATAATGATAATGAATAATGAGGAGGTTGATTTTAGCATTTATTAAGAAATAAAGGGGTATTTAAGAAATACAAAATATATATCATTTTTAAATACTCAATATATTATGTGATTAGGCAAAATATTAAAATTTAATAATAGTATTCCAAAAAGAATCATGATTTCATTCAAATAAGAGATAAACAAATTCATTATAAACTAAAGATTCACATGAATAAACTATAACTTAAATAAATTTAAATATTAATAAAATTGAAATTTTCATATATTTTTTTTTTTAAAATAATTATGTATATTTTATTTATATATATATATATATATATATATATATATATATATATTTCTTTTATTAATTTATATATTTTTTATTTTATATTTATTATTTTAATTTATTCTAAATATAGTCCTTTATAATTTTTTATTTTTTATTTTATTAAATTTTATTATTTAATAATTATTTTATTTTTTTCTTAAATATAAATAATTAAAAAATATTTATTTTTTAAAATATAAAATAAACATTAAGTATTTTAATTTTTTTTTTTATTATAAATAATTTTAATTTTAGACTTATATTAATTTAATAATACTTATATTTAATAATTTTGAAATTAATTTATGATTAAATTTTTATATTAAGATAAATAAGTTAACTTTGAATAAATAAAATGCTAAAATTATTTAATACTATTTTTCTTTCTTTATTCATTATATATCTGATTAATAAAAATAATTATTTAAGCAAGAAATCTAAAAATATTCTCAAAATTTATAAATTAAACAAAAAATTTATATATAACTTGCCTAGAAATATAATTTATATATAACCAAGTATAAATAATCAAATAAAATATTTCCATTATATAAAAAAATAATAATAATAATAAACGAAGTATAACAAAATAAATTAAAGAAAATAATTTATAATTCATATTAAACATTAATAAAATATAGTTATATTAATTATTAAAAATGTAAACCAAAGCTATATTAATTTTATTTAATAAAATTATTAGATATATAAAAAAAATAATTAAAATAAATTTATCAAATTATTATTTATTAAATTATATAAATGTATCAAGGACACCAATCCGATAAAATTTTTAAAATTTTATCACATTTTTAACATTAAACATCTCCTTTTTTAACACACCTTTTGCATTAATAAGAATCATCACAAATAATACATTTATTACCTTACTGAATATAATTTTCAGGACATTAATCTACACATTTATCATCACCCAATGACAACCTATTTTTACAATCAGTACACTATTCTGCACTATTACACTTTCTACAATTAGCTTTACAATATTCAACCACAATATATAAATCTCTGAATCCAACAGATCTTTTTGGAATGAAATCAAGTTCATTATCTGGCATAATTACTTATATAAAAAAATCAATTTACTTCATCGAACTAAACAAACTTCCATCTAATCCTACTTTAATATTAAACTATTTATAATAATTAAACAATTCAGCTTATTTACCATACTGTCCGCAACTCTCAACAGCATTTTTAGTAAATTAAATATTATTATTATAATCACAAACTGTTTTTCCTAAACATGTTTATATTTAAAAATTTGTATCATCAATAGCATAATACCTATATCCAACATTAATCTAATAAAATGCTCTTTTCACCCTTATTCTTTTTCTAATAATCATATTCTAATTTTTCTAGCCAATTCCCACAAAAGGTCCCCCAAGAAGCCAAACTCCATTACACGTTTTAAATTATTATTCATTAAATCCTTCTAAAAAAATTTAAGTCCTTCCTAACTCTCCTTACGCGAAATACTATCCAAAAAAAGCCTAAAGTAAATATTCCCCATATTTTGGTATATTAGCACTATCTATACATAATTTATTAACAACCAGAGAATTATAAGGGCATTCCTGCACACAATTCCCTAAACTTACAAAATAAGGTTCTTAGCATTAAACACACTCATTATTTTAACAATCCAAACAATTTACATCTGCGCATTTATTTTCAACACAAAACCTATTATTGCGGCCCTAAACACGGATCTCTTTAATTTAATCACACTTAGTTAGGCACTAATTATTTTTCACATATCCTTTACATTTACAAATTTTACCTTTAATATGTTTTTTCAATCGAATACCATTAGGGCAAGTCAAACAATCAAATTCCCTGGGACCTTTACATGTAAGACATGATTCATGGCATGTATCGATCGATATATATAAATTTTTGACTCCAAAACCTATATTTAAATTTAATTAATTAAAATCTATTATAAAATTTAAATTAAATTCTGATTATGTATGTGTGATATTTTTATAATATCTATATATCGAATCCTTAAATTTATCATCATATTTTGCATTTAGATTTTTATTTAGGATATTAAATTTTATTTATTTTTGGCATATATTAAATGAATAAAATTAAATTTAAAAAATAGAATCAATAAAAATATTATCTAAAATTACCTATATATTATCTTTTAAAAACTACTAATCGTTGATTTAATAGAAAAATAAATCTAATTATACCGCTAATGAATAATGAGGAGGTATATTTTAATATGTTTTCTTTACATATTTAATATCATTTTAAAATATACCAAATAAATCTTTATCTCTGTATTCTGCAAGTTATGATTCTGAAAAACATCTGAATTAATTTTATTAATTCCAACCTTTAAAAACATCATTATCAAATCTAGGCTAAAAAAATTCTTTTACAAATAATAATTCACGTGATTATATTAAAAGAAGTAAATTTAATATTATTAAAAAATTAAACATTTTTAAAAAGTATAAAAAAATATTTTAAAGATTTATAAAATATTATTATTAATATAAAAGCATTTAATTTAATTATTTATTCATATAAAATTTTATATTTTTTATTATAATAACTATATAATTAAACATTTTTATGATTTATTGTATAATTATTTAATTTTTAGATAAATAATATTATTTTTTTATATATAATATGTTATATTTTTATTATTATTATTTTATATATAATTTAAATTATTATACTTTTTATTTAATTATTCTTAAAGTATAATTTAATATCTTCTCTTATATATTTATAGTATTTTTATATTTGTTAAAATTGTCAATCATCAAAAGTATAAAAAAAATTAAAACTTTAAAATTTTAAATATGTAAACAAAATAAAAATAAATACAAAATATGAAACATGAAATACATCTATTTTAAAATTTTTATTATTTTTAATTTATGAAAAATACAAAATTAATTATATATAGAAAAATATTTGTAATTTATTAATATTATTATTTTTAATTAACAATATATTATTATTATATATTTTTTAATTTTACCTTATTTTATGTATATTTTATATAATTATATTTATCCTTTTTTTTATATTTTTTTAGACAAAAAATTAATTACTCTTTATATATTTTTTATAAATTACTTATATTACATTTTTTTTTTTTTTTTTTTTTTTTAATTTAAATTTTTAACTTTTGTAAATTTCCATTATTTCTAATTATGTTTATTGAAAGCTTTTATAATAATGTTTAACTTATATTTTTTAAACAATAATATTATTTTTTTTTTTAAGAA